AAAAAAAATATCTTTAACTTTCAATCTAATGAAATGATGAAATTCGATCTAATGGAGAAAAATCCCGTTATGTCGATCGATCGTCTGATAATTGGTTCAATGGGGAACATCCTATATAACATAATAAGCTTTCACCCGCGACTCCGTCCGCGCGGAACTAAAAATAACAAATGTAAGTAGTCTATGTGTTCTTCCAGACTATCATCTACATTTATGGCAAATTTTATTAAAATCTGTTCAGCAGTTTAGACTAGAAACTCTAACAAACATCCATCCATCCATCTAAACTTTTGCATTTATAATATTAGTATGATATATTGCAGAAATTCTTTTTAATTTAGGATAAATTGCCTTGTTTATTGTAAAGAGATAAAATTAGCCTCTTTCAAATAACTTATTTGGTAGCATTGAGCGCGAAGGGATAAGAAGAAACTAGAGTTATGTTCCGCGTCTCGTTTCAAATTTTTTTTCCTTTTGAGTTGGAACACCGTCAGTTTACCTGATTGTACGTGTCAGGATCTGAGAACGCGGAGCCGATGCGCACGGCGTGCGCGCTGGCCGCCAGCAAGCTGCTGAAGAAGCCCGACCAGAGCCGCGCTGTGGCGCTCTGCGCACACCTCTTCTGGAAACCACCCAAGGACGGACAACAGGTAAAACTTTTTTTTAAATAAACAAAACCGACTTCCAAACAAAATACACTAAAAACAAAGTATTCTCGAAAAAAAGTTGATGTCATGTCTTTGACTCCAAAAATCAAAATGGGACCCACCTGCAAGCATTACCTTTCGGATAAAAAAAGAATTATCAAAATCGGTCCACTAGCGGAGTTATACCGTAACACACAAAAAAAAACTTACAGACGAATTGAGTACCTCCTTCTTTTGGGAAGTCGGTCAACAATATATATCAGCTGACCGTTGCCCATAGACATTCGCTATTATGTTAATCAGTTAATATACGTCCTCACTGAGGGCTTATACCAAGTTTAGGTGACCAGCCCTTAGTCAAAATTGGTCCATTGCGATTGACTTTCCACATATCTTTGAATTTCTTGACATGAATGTGCGGTTGCATCATATTTTCCTGCGCCTTAAGAACGTCAGGTAAATTATAGATGCGTTACCTAAATTGAGGGGACGCACATAAAGATAATTTCCCTTTATACATCTCTAGTGTCAAAAAAAAAATCCCTTCACATTCTCGTCTTATCATACTGTACTTCTACTTCACGCCTACCATACCATGCGAAGATTTTAAACCTTATTTGTCCTTCTAAAAAATCGAAAAATGCAAAATAAATTTAAAAAACGTTAAATAACAACTTCCCCTTAGATCTAATTCATCAGCTAGAGACGTTTACGGCTTTTTATTTAGTTTTTTGTGTTATATTTGTGGGTGCAGTGGGCACTGAACGACGCGTCCCGCGCGCTGGACTGCCTGAAGAAGGCGGCGCGCGTGGCGCAGCAGTGCATGGACGGCGGCGTGCAGGCGCAGCTGCTGGCCGAGCTGCTGGGCAGGTACGCGCAGCTGCGGGAGCGCGGCAACGCCAGCCTCACCACCGCCCTCATTGATGCAGTAAGTATCCGGCTCCAAGGACCATTGACGTTATTCAACCCTGTTTACTTTGTTTTAATAAGTTTTCCGCCTCGAAAGATCACTATTTTTTTTAATTTTTAACTATATAACTTGTATTGATAGGTTTTCCACCTCGAAGGATCACTAATTTTTTTAAATTTGTAACTATATACTTGTAATGATAGATTTACCGCCTCAAAGGACCGGTGAGGCCCAAATCTGTATTGCTGACTTCTGATAGGTTTCCACGCTGACAAATGGCCTATTCGTGGAAGGGTTTTTTTTATATAATTCTATGTAAATTTAATTTAGTATTTGAATATGATCTATGTATGCATTATAACAATTGGAATAACTAGAGTATAATGACTTTAGTCCTGAAACAATGATGTGGTTAAACCTTGAAAACATGCAATCACTATAATCTGGCTCGAAGGACCTGAAACTTACAAACAGACAATCCTGGATATGTTATTTGATTAATAATGTCTATTTTATCAAAGTAAATAAGAAGGATGGCATTATTTTATTACATTAAGCTTTAGTTTAATAAAATATCTTGGCTCGAAGGACCATAACACTAGTTAAATCTATTATAGATGGGCCAATGCGTCACATATGAGGCACATAACCAAATTCTTTTTACCTCACCTCTAACATAACGTTTTCTAGGTAATCCAGAAGATCAGAGAGGAGCTCGCCAACCTGGACCAGTCGGAGGAGGTGGAACAGATCACAAAGCACTTCCACAACACGCTGCAGCACCTCAAGAACCGCATGGAGTGCCCTGACCCTGACGGCTTAGGGTATGAGGGTTTAGTTCTATCCTAGGTGTACTGACAGTTCCTAGGACTGCTACAGCTTAGGTCTGGAACGGCCCTAGGTCTAATATAGCCATATGTCTGTTATGTCCTTGGGATTACTTTGGTCTATGTCTAAACTTTTCTAGACCGGCACGGTCCCAAGACTACTACTTTCCTAGGTTTTGTAATGGTCTAGGTCTAGATTTAGCACTAATATCTTGTATGTGAAAAATGTAAGATTGTTCACTTATATTTTTGTTTTATATTTTTTTAATTATTGACAGACTTGTAATATTTACTTTTAAAACACATTCCTATTTACTGTTGTCTATTGTATGTACTTCGTTCATAAGACCTAGGTCAAAAATAAGACCTAGGTCCGATGGAATGGCTAAGTTAGGTACAAACATTTTATATCATAAAAATATGACAAGTAATGATGGAATTTAGTTGTAGAAATATAAAAATTAATACATTTTTTTAAATTTTATAATCTGTCCCCTTATTTGATGAATGTATTCGAATCATTTTTTTATTAACAGCTGTTGTAAGATGAAATATCGGATTATTCCCGACCGTCACCCCACTCTGTCCCCCCGTGGGAACATGAGGGTAAAAAGTTCCATCCGTCTCACCTTTTGCTAAGAGAGGACGGTGGGAACTTATTTTATTTCATAACGGTTCCATCTGTCACCTTATTGGTGACGGTGGGATTAAAAGGTGGGACGGATGAAACGTTTTATTCTCACGTGGGGACAGGGCTGGGTGACGGTTGAGAATTATCCGAAAAATCGATTATGTTATTTATTATTAATAGTGAAATATATAGAATTAAGATAATAATTATGTATCTGAGATTGTTATTCGTGAAAAAAGCAATATATTAAATGTTTAATATTATTCTATGCATTTTTAATTACTCAATAATCCTAAAAAGGCTTTAATTTTTTTAGTTTTCATTAAATTACCTTTGTAATGGACAGAAATCTATTTTTTCTTTATTCATGAGAAAAAATAATATTGGTTTAATTTTGACCATGTAAAAAAAGCAGATTCAATAAAATATATACAAGTGTCCGGAGAGATGTATACAATGGACTACCACAGATTCTTGTTAGAAAATAATGACGATTTGACTCATTTCACCTATACAAAGTTGTTTCGTTTGGACGCTAGAAGGCTTTAAATTTGCTAATTATTTTACATTTATTGAAATGTCTCGAAAAGCATTTAACAAATTTTATTCATATTGAAACCATGGTGTTTGTTAAACTACCTTTTTGTGGAAGAAACCATTGTCATCAAATCTCGAGAAAAAAAAAGAGAGCTCGAAAACTCCGAGAATAAAACCTGTTAAACGCTTTTTGAGATATTTGAATAAATCTTACTATTATAAATGCGAAAGTTTAGATGGATGGATGTTTGTTAGAAATTGTAGTCTAAATGGCTGAACGGATCTCGATGAAATTTGACCTAGAAGATAGTCTGGAAGAGCACAGAGGCTACACATTTTTGTTTTTTTTTATTTCACGCAGACGGAGTCGAGAGCGAAAACTAGTTCTAAATAATTAACAAACTTTAAAGCTAGCGTCCAAACGTCACTAAACTTGACAACTGACATATTACCTTTTAGAGAAAATACCTGTGAAATGCTTTTGTACACGACCTCGTCTATTTATTTCTTAAACATCTTTTATTAAGGACTAGCTGTTCGCGTGCGGATCCATCCGCGTAAAATTGTAAAAACTGTATTTTATTGTTTACATTTGTCAAATTATCAATAGCAAATGTCAAAATGACATGACATGACAAACCTTAGCAATCTTGCTTTCTTGATCTTGACAGCAACTTATCGTCTCTTTCCCACATTAGGGTTTTTATCCAAAATGTTTACCCCCTAAGTTTAATGGCGTGAAAATATATAGCCTAATGCATGACGTAAGTATAGGGCTTTTTATTAAAAAGAATTAATCAAAAATATGGTGTAATTGCTGACATCTTAGGCAACAAAGAAGTGTGTGTTTACGCTTTATTATATTAGTATAGAAGTATAGATAGGGTTTGAGACAATAAAACACAAGGTTACAATATATTTGTAAATATTAAATTTATTCAAAAATAAAATACATTTTTACTTAATTTAAAATATTTTATTACCTTGAACATTATTTCTATTGTTCAACATTATCTTTTCCTGTCGTTTCTTCTCTTCTTTGAAAGCTTCTTTGTTCGCCTTCTTCTCTATTCTTCTTTCTTTTCTGTATTCCTTTAGAAGACGTTTTCGTTCTTTCTTCTCTTCTGCCGATTCGTCTTTGGGTCTGAAATGATTTTGTAATAATTCTTATTATTTCACATTGTGTTATCGTGATTTTTCACTATCAAAGAATTTACAAATAAAAAAATTCTTTTAAGAACAATGAAAAAATATATAATTTTAACTAGCTTTCGCCGGCGACTCTGTCCGCGTGGAATTAAGAATTACAAAAATAAGTAGCCTATGTATCCTTTCATACAATGTTTTACATCTATACCAAATTTTATCAATATCGGTTCAGCAAGTTAGTTTAAAAACTCTTACATACATCCATCCAAACTTTCGCATTTTTAATATTAGTAAGAAGTAATTTTCTCATTTCTATCGAATTCACTTATTTTATTACACCAAATTGTATTCTAATAGCATAAAATTACAAATAAAAAACATTGCTAATATGAAATTGCTTTTTTAATTTTTTTTTTATTTTTCAAAAAAAAATTTTTTTTTCGTAGTTTTTGAGTTTAAATTCCTTACCTTATGGATAATACGCTAAGTGTTGATAAAACTGTCTCCGCTTGTGTCTGTTCGTCTTCTGAGTTACTCTCCTCTTGTTGCTGTGCGTTAAATTTTGCCAACGTCTTCAATGTCAGTTTATTATCTTTACCGAGAACGTCTTTTGGAATACCAGTTTTCGCGTTTATTGCTATTTTCTTCGGTTTCTGTTGAAAAAAAAAACTACAATTACAATCTAAAATATCTTTGAATAATTTAAATGTCTTTAAATGCAGTATTGGAGATACAATTTAACAGTGGTAGTGCCCGCTTTAACATGTTAGCACTGCAGGGCCGGCTCGCCCCCAGTAATACCACGACCACACAGAAGACAGGCGTGAAGTGGAAACAATTCCGTGTTTCGTCTGATGAGTGTGGTGCCGGAGGCCTAATTTAAGTCCCTTTCTCTTTACCACCCTTTTCTTATAAGGAGAGGTTGGGAAGAGGAAATAGATTTGACAGTGGAGGAGATGCAGAGGAAGGGGAAATATCCTCTTTATGTGCCTCTCCTCCGTCGTACAAGGGTAGGCAACGCATCTGCAATTGCGGATGTGTATTGGCAGCGGTCGCTTCGCCATTTTCGCGGATTCAGGTGGCCGCTTGCTCGTTTGCCACATTATGTTATAAAAAAAAAATTTTGGTTTGCAAAAAACTCAAAAACTACTGGATTTAAAAGTTCTTTTTATTATAAAAACTACTATTAACTTTACTCCCTCTTGATTATGTGGTCATCTGCCTCCCTACATCTGATTGACTATAGATAACTAACTTTCTCCCTTGACTCTATTCGAGGAATTAAAAATAAACAAAAGATCTAGTTTTCTTCCTGAAAATCCTCTACATCTATGACAAATTACATCGATATCCGTTTAGTTTAGGTTAGGTTACAAACTGTACAAAACATCCATCCATCTAAACTTTCGCATTTATGTTAATTACCTTGGGTTCTTCAATAACTTTAGGATGGTTGTACAAATTGGAGTAAGTAGAGAGTATAGTCTCGCAGTCCCATCTCTCTTTGGGCTCCACCTCCACTCTCATCAACTCTTCTTCTGACTCCTCTTCTATCTCTTGGAGATGTTGTAATCTGAGTAACATTTAGTATAACTTATAATATTATACCAAAAAAGGCATGCATATTAATAAAAATAATGCAATAAAGTATAAATTGAATAATAACATATTTATATCTATACTATTATAATAAAGCGTAAACACACACTTCTTTGTTGTCTAAGATGTCAGCAACTACAACATATTTTTGAATAATTCTTTTTTTAATAAAAAGCCCTACACTTATATCACGCTTTAGGCTATATATTTTCACGCTAAACTTAGGGGGTAATTTGAATAAAAACCCTAATGTGGGAAAGAGACCATAAGTTGCTGCCAACATCAAGGAAGCAAGATTGCCATAGTTTGTAATGTCATTTTGACATTTGCAATTGATAATTTGACACATGTAAACAATAAAATAAAATTATTAGGCTTGTTAAAGCAAAAAGTATGGTCAAATTTAAGTCGGAAATCTGATTTTTCCGATTTTACTTTACAAAAAAATAAATAATTTTAAAATTATAGAAAATCGGGCAACAAACTTTGCGTTTAAATTATAGGTATAGAGGTCCTTTAACTCCACAAAAACGTTGATCCGTTCTTTAAGAAACGGATATGTATATATAAGTATAATTGTAATACTGTTTTTTTTTTTTAATTTTATAACAAAAGATGGAGCTTATTATAATTTAGTCAAATGTATCGTAATAAGAGCACAAGGAGGCACTAAATTTACCTACATATTACCTTTCAGAGAAAGTACCGGTGAATTTTTTTTTCTGTCTCATCTAAATTTTATTCAAATGTATTGTAAAAAAATCTGTAACCATTTTAAAGCTAAATAAATCTTTACCTTGAAATTTCCTTTTCTTTATCCAGCTGGTATCTTCTCTGTGACTCTTCAAACTCCTCAGCAGCTCGCAGCAGCATGTCATGAGAAGGAGGTAAGAAACCTTCGATATCTTCTAGATCCAACGCTCCGAGTTCCGTGTCGTCGTATTCCGCAAACATCTTAAAGAAAAAAAATATCTTACTAATGTGAATGTTTGGATGGATGGATGTTTGTAGCCTAAACTGAACTGATCTTGATGAAATTTGACATAAATGTAGAGGATAGTCTGGAAGAATAAATATACATACAAAATTACAATAATACAAACTTTTCCTCTTTGCATTATAGTTGTTGCCCGCGACTTTGCCCGTATATATTAAAAAACTTAAGAGTCTCTATTACTCACAGACAAATTACCTTTCTAACGGTGAAAGTTTTAAAATCAAAACAAGTAGATTTCGAGTTATTTATATACATACAAAAATACAAATCTTTCCTCTTTATTAGTATAGATTATAAATGCGAATGTTTGGATGGATGGATAGATGGATGTTGGAGTTTGTAGCCTTAAATGAACGGAGCTTGATAAAATTTGATACAGATGGATAGGATAGTCTGGAAGAACACATAGGCTACTTACTTCTGTTTTTTTTAATTTACGCGGACGTAGTCGCGGGCGAATGCTAGTCTAGATATAAATAAGCTCACCTTTTCAAATCTATTGTCCAACAAAGAAAGGCCTTCATTACGTCGTATGACGCTAGAAGACATGGAATATTGAGAGAAACGAGACTTCGTGTCGTCCTTGTCTCGCTCCAGCCACGACGGCATTTTAGGTCTCCCTCTATCTTCACCCTGAAAATAAATAGTAATAGCATTGAAATATTCATTTATTTAATTCTAACATCAACTAAGTACAAAATAGAAATTTTCAAGGTCGCGTCACGGTTAGCAACATTTCGTTACATGAAAGAGATAAGAGATACAATAAGTAATGTAGAGTAAAAGAGACATACATACATGCTCAGTACACAAGGTATAAGTCAGTATAGAAATAATAAAATTAATCATATTGTTCTGTTAATCACTTGGGTGATGAACATAACATACCTGTGAATCATCATCTGAATCCAAATCACTTACAAACGCTTTATCTGAATCATCAGCAGACAAGCTCTCGTCTTCATCATATTCATCATCATCACCTATTTAAAAATAGAATTCATTAGATTCAAATCTTTTCCTTCACTTTTGTCGTACGGAAACATTTTATAGGTCTACTAGCTAGCCCGCGACTTCGTCTGCTTGTAATTAAAAAAAACTGAGTAACCTATGAGTTCTTCTAGACTATCCTCTACATTTATGTCAAATTTCATTAAGACCGCTTCAGACATTTAGGCTACAAACTCTAACCAACAAACATCCATCCATCCAAACTCTCACATTTATAATATTAGTATGATAATGAAAACCTTTAGCTCAGGGTTGTCAATTTTACTAATATTATAAATGTGAAAGTTTACATGGATGGTTTGTTAGAGTTTGCCACCTAAATTGCTGAATGGATCTCGATGAAATTTGGCACAGATGTAGAGCATAGTCTAGATTCTAGTAAGTCCAAAACAACTTAGACTCTAGAAGAACACAAAGACTACTTACTTTTGTTTTTTTTTTGTCACATAAAAATATAATTTCAAACTGAAACTCAAAGCAAAAAACTAAGAACAGTTGCTAACATACTAAAATTATAAATCCGAAAGTTTGGATGGATGGATGTTAATTTCTAGCCTAAACTGCTGAACGGATCTTAATTAAATTTGGCATAGATGTAGACCATAGTATGCTTTGTTTTATTTTGGCTAAACCAATGCTAAAATACTCAATAACATTAAAACATACCTTCTCCCATAGCCATTTCAATAAAATTATCTTCAAGTTGATTGTCAGGATCATCATAGTCAAAGTCATCGTCAAGAGCCGCCACCACCTCGGGGTCCAGGTTCAAACATAGACCTGATGAAAAATTTGTATTTTTGTATTTATTGTAATAGCTCAAAAACTACTGGACTGATTTCAAAAATTCTTTCACTATTAATAAGCTATGTTATCACTAAGCAATATAGGTTATATTTTTTTAACTATTTTTAATTTCATGCTTTCAGCTAATACAATATAAAATCATGTGGAATTGCAATTAACTCACTTGGTGTCAAGCTATTCTATCAAATTGTACAAACTTTAGTTTATTGTTTACTTTTTATAAAATGTTCAATAATGAATATTAAAATTCAAATGACAATAAAGGATTTTGCCATGGGCTAACAATTATAGTTACTATCACAATCTTTCTTTGCTGGTTTGTGGTTTTTTACCCCTTCTCACATGCCTGTAGCATTTTTTCCCCCCCCCCCTTCTCAAATTGCCTATAGCATGTTGTGAATGTAGGGGTTTTTTATAAAAAGATTAATTCAGAAATATGCTAGGATTGCTGACATCTTACATAACAAAGAAGTGTTCACGCTTTATTATATTGGTACAGATAAGGATTATTTGCTGTTATTTACCTTGTGTTGCAGCCTTATTCAACATTCCCACATCCTCTTCAACTTCCGAAGCAAACACAGAACTTGGAAGTTTTAATGTTTCCGATATGTCTTTTGTATTCTCATTTCCTTCTATATCTGTTTCTTTCTTCTCTTTTCTGTTATGTGAACTTTTCTGTAAATTAAAATGTTAAAGTGATGAGACTGCTAAAATATAAGAGTAAGACTGAAGAGAGTATGGATGGAGATGGGAGTGAATTAGGATATTGTGGCCGAGAGAAGTATGGAAGAGTTGTGGTAGCACCTGATGATATAGGCTAGGTCTGTTGCCTTTCTACCTTGGTGACAGCCTTAGGAGTACATACCGTACTCATTTGAGGCAATTACAAGCCAAAGACATTTGGTATTATTTTTATATCATAATATATGAACAATTTTAACAATAAAATTACTTACTGGCTGCAACACCATGGTGACTTCTTTTGTATCTTTAAGATGTTGTAGATAATTGTAATCATCATCAAAGTATATGCCATATTTACGTTGCTCTTCTTTTCTCTGATCTAAAGTTAAATCCTGTAAAATATGACAAAATTATTACGATAAGGGTTTAAAAGGTGCTTGTATTTAAAATGAAAATATTACTTACCGGGTCTTTCTCCTTCTTTGGCGGTACTACAGCATTAACTGGTACAAGAACACGCTGTGGTGCATTCTCATCAGCGATTAAAGGATCTCTTTGAGAACGATGGACCAAGTTAAATGTTACAGCTTTCTTTCGGTCTATAAACTTTTTAGTCTTCGGCTAGAAGAAAATGATAATTAACATGCATTCTAATGAATAAGAAATCCGATTATAATAAGAATATAATGTACTAACCATTTTGGTATGTCGCAAAAACCAATAACACTAAATTTTTAGTAATTATTGCTGCACAACATGAAAAACATGTGTTGTTTTGGCAAACACAGATTAAAAAGAACATTTTTGACAGTCCCCCAACAATATGTCAAAACAATGCGTTTATGGGAGAAACGAACACAACAAAAAAATTATTTAATTACTTGACTTTACTATGTAACTTTTCGAAACTTTTATAACGTATTCCTATTTAAATTAATTCGTTATTTTTTTTTGGGAAAATGTAGTAATTGTAAAAAAAAAGATGTCAAATAAAGTACATTTATGTTTACGAGGTATGCTATTTGCTATATTCCTTGATTTAAACTTAAACACCTAACGTTAACATTGAACGCTTAATGAAAATATAACCTGCAGACATGGGTTTAATCCGAAAAAGTTTATATTACGGACTAAATTCAAGAATATATACCGGTAACAATTTTTGTATAAATTGTAGAAGAGCTAAAAGTTCGGCTGAAGCAAAAACGAAAACTTATTCACATACAATTTTGTTTCCGAAAACCCTTTTTCCGGCTAGATCTAACAATGCTATTAAAGAAGAGGTTCAAAAGGTAAGACTTCTAAAATTTTGTGCTATAAATCCTTTTTAAAAAAAAAGAACCAATTCGTTAATATTTATGTTATTTCAGATGGCTCAGTTTGCAGAACTTTACACATGGCAACGAGAAAACCTAAAAGGTCCTGAATTTGTTCTTCATGATGGACCTCCATATGCAAACGGCGACTTACACATGGGACATGCTGTTAATAAGGTAACATTCGTAACAAGCTTTTGCGAACTCCATGTAAGTTTTTTTATAATAAGGTAACAAGTAAGTGGCCACTGGAATTACACAAAAACAAAGCAATTGCTTCCCACAGACATGTGCATTTGAGATGTGTTGCCTACATTTAATCAACATGGAAGAGGATATATAAAAAGACAATATTTACTCTTCGTTTGTGTCATAAAGGGATAAGGCCAAAGAGATAATGATTTTACATGATGTAAAAGTTTTATATAATTATTTGATGAATACTGTCGCAAGGCACAGTTTAAACATTATAGTAATGTGTCACTTTATTTCCTAAACCTTTGTTTTAGATTATAAAAGACATAAACAACAGAAGTCAAATATTACAAGGCAATAAAGTACATTATGTCCCAGGTTGGGATTGTCATGGACTTCCCATAGAATTGAAAGCTCTACAAAAAGCCAAAAATTCATCAAAAAATGTCTCATCACAGGAGAATATCCGACAAATTGCGAGAGACTTTGCGTTAGAAACAGTAGCAAAGCAGAAAGCGGCGTTCCAAAGTTGGGGTATAATGGCTGATTGGGATACATGTTATTTAACTTTAGACAAGAAATATGTACAAAATCAATTGAGACAGTTCTATAAAATGTATAAGTCTGGATTGATATTTCGTGCATTAAAACCTGTTTACTGGTCACCATCATCAAAGTAAGTTTGTTATCTATGCTATCTATACTAATGTTATAAAGAGGAAAGATTTGTATTTTTGTATGTATTGAAATAACACAAAAACTACTGGACCAATTTCAAAAACTCATGCACTATTAAGAAACTATGTTATCACTGAGTAATTTTTGTCATTTCAAGCGGGTGAAGTCACAAGCAAGAGCTAGTATTAATTAAAAATGAGAATGTCTGGATGGATAGATGTATGTACACTTGAAGACTGTATGGATCTGGATGTTTGTCAAAGATAGAACAGTCTGGAAGGACACATAAGTTATTAATTTTTTTTTAATTCCATGTAGATGAAGTCACAGCGAAAAGCTAGTATGCCACTAAATGATTGTAAAATATATTTCTTTTAGTTAAAACAGTATTTATACTAATTTTATCATACTATTGTTGTAGATTTTATTAATTTTAGTCTGTGCTGTTAAATGAAACTTTTTGTATTTGGTGAATTGTTTTTTTTTTAATTTCAGAACAGCCTTAGCTGAGGCAGAATTGGAATATAATCCACAGTTTAAAAGCAAAGAGGTTTATATCAAATTCCCAATGGATACAGTACCTGAAGTTGCTAGTAATTTCTCTGGGTATGTATAACTGTTATTCCACTACAGACACCACAACTAACTGTTATTTCCACTACAGAAACATGTATAAAAACATTACTTTTGTATGGAGTATCATCAATCTCACATTTTCCTTACATAGTGTCCACACTGTGTATAGTTTAACAAAGAAAATATTCTGACTTTTTTTTTTATTTAATTTCAACAAAGTACATTTTTGGTCACTTAGGTGACCTACGCATGGGGGCAGGCAGATGAACAAGGGGGCTACAATTGTTTCCTTTTTAGGAAAGGGCAATGATCCCCCTAAATTTACGTTATCAGTCAAATACACTTATCAGTCCCCCTTTTTAATGGTTAGTGATTTCCTTTTTTATATTATGAGGTGGCAAACAAACAAGTGGCCATCGGAAGACACCGAAATGACAAATCGACCACTGCCCATAGACATCCAATATTGCAGTTGCGGAGGAAGAGACGCACAAAGAGGATATTTCCCCTTCCTATATGTCTCTTTCACCATCAAATCCACTTTTCCTTCCCATCCTTTTCTTTTAAGATAATTGTGGGAATAAAGGGACTAGAATTAGGCCACCATTTCCCTTCCCCATTGTGCTGTTTTATTCCCATTTTCTAACCACAATTGACTAATGGATTATTCTTTGTTTTCAGTAAGCCTATCTCAGCTTTAGTATGGACGACCACACCTTGGACCCTAATCGCAAACAAAGCTATATGTTATAGTGCAAACTTAACATATAGTATAGTTACATTAAATAACAAGCCAGATGAACTGTTTGTAGTCGCAAGTGCTCAGATTGAGTGTTTGAGAAATATATTAGGCGTGGAAATTGAGAAATTAATTGATTTTGATGGTAAGATATATTCATGTATTAGTTAAGAATTTTTAGATGTTAACATGTTCTTTTTTAGATTGATTGTTTTATTTTAAATTATGATATTACTGGCTTTCGCGACTCCGTCCGCGTGGAATTAAAAAAAAACAAAAGTGCGTAGCCTATGTGTTCTTCCAGACTATCCTCTACATCTATACTAAATTTCATCGAAATCCGTTCAGCTGTTTAGGTTACAAACTTTAACAAACATCCATCCATGTAAACTTTCGCATTTATAATATTAGTAAGAGTAAGAAGAGAGTAAGATAAGAACTTCATTATTTACATTCTGTAAAATTTTTCATTGGCAACAAAATTCAGTTGCCCATATGACAGTGAAGGCCTTGCCGTTGGTTGAGAATTTAAGTTATCATGGCAAACCTAGTTTCTTTGCTGGTATTAGCTTGTAGTTTTAGTCTCTGTCTCCCAGAGGATTTCTCAAAAATATGCTGTAATTGCTGACATCTTAGGGAACAAAGAAGTGTGTGTTTACGCTTTATTATAATAGTACAGATAAATATAGATTAATATTTATAATTCTAGGTAAAGAACTAAAAGGTATGTATTACAAGAGTTTGCTTACATCAGAGAAGTTGCCATTCTTGGAAGCGAGTCATGTGACGGAGGGCAAAGGGACAGGTTTGGTTCACACTGCGCCTGCGCACGGCCCTGATGACTTTCTAGTCGCTTTGAAGAATAATATGCCAGTGGTAAGTAATATTGAACTCAGTAAAAAACATTAGTTATGAACGTGGAGGTACATCGGTAGAGGTAGAAGTAGAAAGAGATGGATGGAGCGTGAAAGGTGGATCAAGAAGGGAGTGATGACTGAGATGACGGATGATAGAGTGCTTTAGAGGATGAAAACCTGGTAAGCCGACCCTACGGGAGTAGGATAAGGCAGGGGAGATGATGATGATGATGATTTTTTAACATGACTACTCACCCTGTTTGAATATGTTTTGTAATTTTAATGATTACTTACTTTAGAATAAACTAAAAAGTAGGTATAAGAACTGTTAAGGTTTAATTTAACAACTCTTTAGGTTTATTTTTTACTTAAGTTAGGTTAGGTTTAGTTTACATTAAGTTTAGTTTTGGGTTAGTTTACTTTAAGTATAGTTTAGCCTTAGTATAGCTTAGGTTTAGTATAAGTTTAGTTTAGGTTTAGTTTACGTTGAGTTTAGTTCAGATTAATACTATATCTAGAAGTTTTTTTGTATTCTATTCTTACAATGCTACAATTTTCATTTATTAAAACACTGACAACTGAATTTCAGGAGTGCAATGTAGACGAATCAGGCCGTTATATAAACTTGGACAATCGTTTTAACGGTCTCTACGTACTCGGAGATGGTCAGGACGCGGTTATCAATGTTCTAGTAGGTTCTATCGTACATCAGAGTGTGTACGTACATTCTTATCCTCTGGACTGGAGAACGAAGAAACCCGTCATCATCAGAGCCAGCCAGCAATGGTTTATTGATACTGCCGCTTTGAAGGATAAAGCTTTGGTAAGAATTATGTTTAAAATAGCTTACATACTTAATTACAAGTTTTTAATACTAGTTGGCGCTCTCGACTCCGTGTGCGCCTGAAAAAAAAGTAAATAGACTGTGTTCTACATCTGTTACAAATTGTATCTAGAGTAACATCCATACATCCATCTATACTTTCCCATTTTTAATATTAGGTGTAAATAAGCAAGCGGCTTGAATTCGCCAAAATAGCGAAGTGACCGTTGCCTTTACATCTACATTTCCAGATTACTAGCTTTCTTTTAATTAACACAGAATTACAGAAAGAATATTTCCCTTACTTATGCACCCCATCCTCCCACAAATTCACCTCCCCTTATTTTTTCATTGAACATGTTAGTAGATTAGATAGAGTTTATATACTAACAGTGGTAGAGCCCGCTTTAACATCTTCGCACGAATAGGCCGGCTTGCCCCCAGCAATACCACGACCATACAGAAAACAGGCGTGAAGTGGAAGCAATTCCGCATACAGTCTGATGAGTGTGGTGCCAAAGGCCTAATTTTAGCCCCTTTCCCTTTCCACCCTTTTTTAAAAGGAAAGGATGGGAAGTGGATTTGACGGTGTAGGAGACGCATAGGAAGGAGAAATGTCAATTAAGGTAGGCAACGCATCTGCAATTGCGGATGTTTAAGGCGGTCGCTTTCCATTTCGGTGGATTCAGATGGCCGCTTGCTCGTTTGCCACCTTATATTATAAAAAAAAACATTTTCTTTAACCATTATTATCCCCTTGTTAATTTTGTCTCGAAGCTTTTATGTGTGTATATTTATTCTTTATGGTGGGGGAAAAAGGGCAATATGACTAAAATTAGACATCGAGTACGAGTTTATTATGCAATTATTTAGTGATAGTGTTTCCTAGGCAGGTCTAGATAAAGTGGTACTTCTACCGCCGTCTAGCGCGGGCCAGTCTAGACAAGGCTTCCGCGCGCAGTTAGAGAAACGCCCCTATTGGTGCATATCTCGTCAGCGGGCGTGGGGCGTGCCCATACCAGTCTTGTATAGCGGAGAGAAGGTTATCGTGGATGAGTAAGTAGAAAATATTAAAAAAGCAAGGATTTATGGTTGTCTATAATACTTATATATTGAACTAGCTGTTGCTCGCGACTTCGCCCGTGTGGATTTAAAAAAAAATGTAACCTATGGTACTCAGTGATAACGAAGCTTGACAATCGCACAACTGTTGTGCGCCAGTTTAGTTACTACAAAATTCTAAGCATTGTTGCTTTTATAGAGAACTAGCTTTTGCTCGCGACCTCGTCCCAGTGAAATTAAAAAATAACAAAAGATATAGCCTATGTTACTTATTGCTAACATAGCTTTTTAATGGTGAAAAAATTTCTCAAATCGGCCCAGTAATTTCTGAGTTATTTCAATACATACAAAAATAGAAATCTTTCCTCTTTATATATTAGTATATATAATATTATAAGTTTTCAATTTTAATTTAAGAGTAGGCATAGTTGACAATTGAGATTTTTTTTCACATAATTATAACGCTAACTATTCACAGCCTCTAATCCACATTTTAATATAATTGTATTTGAATTAATTTTCAATATTAGTTTTTATAACAAAAGGTGGAGTTTATTATAATTTTGTAAAATGGCAAACTTGACAACTGATATATTACCTGTCATAGAAATTACCAGTTAAAAAATTTTTGTTCACTGCCTCTTCTATTTTTTATGTCTTTGGATATAATTATCCGAGAAACTTTAACCTTCAGAGAGCCTTAAAACACAAATGATAAATTTTTTTTTTATTAAGAGGTTTTATTAATTTTAGTGGCATCATAGAAAAGTTATGCAGTTTGATTGAAAGCAATGACACGGATGTGTGGTGGACTTGTGACGTCAGAGATCTGATACCAGATGACGTCAGGAATAAATATAATTTGGACAATCAAGAAGTTACTAAAGGAAATGTAAGTTAATATTTTATTATTGTCATTTTTAAAACATCGTGATATATACATATTTGCGAAGAAATTAAAAGACATTTGTCGTTACCTAGCAATAATGGGCTAGACCAAATTGACCAATTGTCTATGACAGTCTGTGGGCATCGCCAAGGTAGGGGAGGTAACTTTCCCTTTTAGGGGTCGAAAAAATTTAAAACATTTATATAAACTAAGTGTTATATTTTCAGTGTAAATAGCCTAATAGTTTGGGGTACGGACTACCGATTTTGCGGTCGAGGGTTCGAATCCCGCCATTCGACTGTCGTAAACCATATCCTAGCACAAGCCTACAACTTAGTAGGATGGAATAAGCAAATATTAGTAAACTGGCTTTCGCCCGCGAATCTGTCCGCGTGGAATAAAAAAAAAACAAAAGTGGGTAGCCTATGTGTTCTTCCAGACTATCCTCTACATCTATGCCAAATTTCATTGAGATTTCAGCCGTTTAGGCTACAAACTCTGACAAACATCCATCCATCTACATATTCTCATTTATAATATTAGTAAGATTAACAAAAATCCTCTATTATTAAAAAAGTAACTAAAAACTTAACACGACTTAATTCCTAAAGTTCTTTAGATAGATTTTTTAATAAATTAGATTATTCAATATATTTATAGTTTCTTATTAAAAAATAGTTTTCATTAAATTACAAGTGGAAATGTCGATGGTTTACTCCTGTTTTAAGTAAGACGTGTATGATATTTGTATTGATATATAGGGGTTTTTAACCAGGACATAATGGACATCTGGTTGGATTCCGGTTTATCCTGGCAGACGCTGGACGGCAGACGAGCTGATCTGTATTCAGAAGGTGTTGACCAGCTCACCGGTTGGTTCCAAGCGTCGTTGTTAACTTCGTTGGCGTTAACAGGAGAAGCGCCTTATGAGTTAGTAAAAAAACATGTTTATTAGACTTTTTTTAATCTGTGGAACTCTATCCAGAACTAGTTACTTTTTTTCTTTTACTCTATGTTATTGATTATCTGGTACCCGCGAATTCGTCTGTGTGGAATTAAAAAAAAAAACTTTGTAAAGCATATGTGTTCTTCTAGATTATGTTCTACATCTGTGACTTTCATTCGTATCCAATGTTTTGGATATACATAGTAACAATTTATCCATCCAAAATTTTGTACTTATAATATGAGTATGTTAAATTATTAGCAAAAAATCGCCAAGTACAGAATATGAAGTCGAAATAAATTTTTTTCAGATCAATTTTCGTACACGGCTTCGTAGTAGACGAGAAAAAACGAAAAATGTCCAAATCTATTGGAAATGTAATAGATCCTTATACTATTATTAATGGAGATAAAAAACAACAAGGTTATGGTGTGGACACTTTGAGGTAAGAACTATTAATAGAATGTAATAAAAAAAAATACTTGCCAGAAATATTTTTCAAAAAATTTTTTCAAAAGAATTTTTAAAAAAATAAACTGGACAGTATGCGTATATAAAAAAAATTTACACGCGAAAACACTACTTGCCTGATATATTTTTCAAAAAGTTTTTTCAAACAAATTCTTAAAAAAATAAACTGTTTGTGTACATAGAAAAAACTTATACGCGAAAACACTACTTGCCTGAAATATTTCTCAAAAATTTTTTTCAAACGAATTCCTAAAATATTTTATAAAGCCTGACCATGGCATCTTAATGTTCGAAAAAAAAAAAAAATTACGTTCATATTTTCCCACAATGTCACGTAGAATTTTACGTTTTTCTTTTCTTTAACAAATCAGTCTTAACAAAAATCTATACCTATATTTTTTCAATATACCTTTTAAACAGATGGTGGGTCGCCAGCCATTCTACTCAACATTCCCAAATCGTAATCAGCAAGAAACTTCTAGAAGATTGTCAAAGTGAGGTTATAAGAATTCGCGCCATTTTCAAATATCTTCTAGGAGTTGTCAGTGATATGGACAAAGGTAACTTCACCTTTCAGCCAAACTTAAATTACTTCGATCAATATATTATTATGGAAACATACAATTTTCTTAAACAAATTAATGATCATTATAATAATTTCAGATATAATCATGTAGCTCAAACTATTTTATTTTTTATTAGTAATAAAGTCTCTAGTTTGTACTGTCATTGTATAAAAGATAGGTTATATTGTTCCGCGAAAGATTCCAACCAAAGACAATCCGCTCAATTAACAATTCATACGATTTTAGTTGCTTTGTTAAAAGCAATAGGGCCTATTTTACCACATTTAGTAGAGGAAGCATGGCAACACCATCCTTTGTATAAGAAACCATTTTATTTCACCAAAGAAATCCCGATGTTGCAATACAAAGATGTTGATACGTCACTAATGGCCGCCATTTTGGAAATCAAAAGAGACATCTGTGTGATAAACAAAAATGAGAATTTAAAAAAGTTTGATTTGAATTTGGAATTAAATTCAGATTTGTTTAGTAAATTGAAAATTTTGAATGTTTCTGATGGTATTTATGATAGCGTGTTAGCAGAAATTCTGGAAGTTTCTTCCGTTAGTTTAGAGGTTAGTAATGGCGGGAACCCTTGGCATATTGAATTGTCAAAGAGTAAAAATAATCAATGTTTAAGATGTAGAAAATATAATGTTAATAATGACAGTGATAAATGTTTACGATGTGAAAATGTTTTATCCGCTTGAAATAATTAAAAAAAAAGTTCTACAGTTACTTAATTTTCTTTTGAGTAAATATTTTGTTTTTAATGCACGACTCATAGATTCCTTTAGATAGAAAGATGTGTTTGCGCGCGCGTTGTAGTCTAGAACACTGGGAGCTAAAAAGGGCGAACGTCTGGCGCCGTATATTATCGACCTCATCACTTGCTTTTGAGGATTACGGCGATCGTTAAGACGCCATTAAAAATCTTAGCTACCTGGTCGTTTTCGTTTATTTTGACTTGCTTGAACATTTCGCGTATATCTGTCGAGACAGTGATATCATTTTTCCTAAATCTGTACAGTACACCGGGTAAGTCGGAACTGTCGAGCAAAAAATCGTTCAGGCAGACCCTTTCCCCCAGAGTTTCACCGTCGCATCGAAGACTAGACTGGTTTGCCCCGGTTTGTTCTTATTCGTGACGGCGAAATTAGGCAGGTAACCACACCTCGGGTTATTCTGTCCCCACTGCTAGCCGAGCGTAACCTTTTACGAGTAGGTTTTCAATTTGCTCGGTATATGCTATCTTGAACGATCGCGACTTGTCCAACTTCTCGCAGGGTGGCATTCTAACGTCGTGTCTTTCCACGGGAGTCGGACATAGTATCGACCATAGATCTTACGCTTCGTATTGCTAAATGTGTTTAAAACACGTTCTTTTAAGGTTTCTAACCGTGTTTTAACATAAGACGGTTTTGATAAATGCTCCCTCGGTGACTATTTGTGATTTTTATACATTTTGTCAATGTTGATTTGAGTAACATATTGAATCTTAAGTAACTGTAACATTATAATTAATCTCAACAGAGCAAATTTTTTGAATCACAAGTATTTTTAAGCAAGCAAAGCTAATTTTATAAAGAATTTTAATTTCAACAAGGAAATGTATTTGAACAAGCAACAAATTTTATAAATTCAATCGTTCAGACAGACCCTTTCCCCCAGGCTTCCGCCGTCGCATGGAAAACTAGTCTGGTTGTCCCCGGTTTGTTCGGATTCGTGACAGCGTGCGATCAGCTCGTTACAATGTCTGATACGTATCTTTCGCGATATAATTAGGTGCCAGTTGTCCACATCTAATAATAACTTAAGCTTCGCGTTTGAAACAGACGCCCTTTGGCAAATCACGTAGATGGCAACTCTTAAACAGTCGTTACTCACTGTTTTACACCCTGGAGACTAAGCTCTTTACTGTCCTCGCTTTTATTCCGTGCGACTCGTGTTGTCCTTTCCCTCTGGACTTGACATCCACGATACGGCTATTCGGGTGATTGTCTATTGTCGTTATCTACCTTGCCAAATGTTCGTCAATCAGCGATATAGTCGAACTTTCGTCAAGAAGCGCTTAAGTGGCAATCTCTGTACCCTCCGGTCCGCGTTTTAATACCGGGCACACCTTTAGCAATACCGAACCGCTTGTCGCCGCTGTTGATGCGACGAGAGCAGTTTCTTCGGTTGTGTTGTCTTCTTGTGTCATCGGTGACGCTCTTACGGCGTGTAGCCTTTCGTGGTGTCGGCGCCTGCATTTGTTGACACCGCATCGCTTTTCTTTACAACAATCGACGATGCCGACTGCGTAAGCAGTTGAAGCAGACTTTGTTTTTTCCCCACGATTATCTTTCACGCTCATATTTGCGAGTTTTAAAAAAATATTGTGATCATGTTTTATCACTTTACACTGGCTTTTGAAGTGTCCATATTTGTTGCAATTAAAGCAACGAGGGCCTTTTCCTTTTGGCTTTTTGTAATAAGAGTCCTGTCTATGTTTGTATAAAAGGCGGTGGAATCAGGCTATCTCTTGTAGAAGTTTTGTTTTTGCAAAGTCTGATGTATTAATGGCGGAACTTTCGAGACCCATTATCATTGGTTTATATTCTTCTGGTAAACCTGCTAGCCATGAGTGTTGTCGCGTTATTTTTATTTCTAGGCCAAAAAAAAAATCAAAACAATATATATTAAAAAGTAAAATAAAATAAAAATGAAATTGAGAAAGGGGTTCCGCTATGGTCTGTTTTGTTTCCCTTTTGAGATGCTACCGCCGCTCCTTGGAAGTTTTCTTGAGTATCCGACGGTGAGGTCAAAAGCCAGCCATCGGTTTTCACTGTCGTCGTCTAACTTCATACGCCACGTGCGTGCGACACCACTCGTCGATGTTATTATCAAGGTAAGTTTTTCTATCAAGTTCACCGTTCGTTTCTTTTAGTTTTACGAGTTACTCAGAACACCCACGGGTTTGTATCTAGTATTTTTCCACGAGGGAAACAAAATTTCTTCAAGGCAAGTCAGCATGACAGACCTGTCTCATTTTAACAGCTGACAATGACAGCTCTAAAAAAATGTATGGCAGCTGCACTTTTATTTATTTAAATAACGTAAGATTTGTTCAGTGATGTATTTATGAAATCCCGTAGTAAGCCCGGAGTCTTCAAAGGCATTGCGCTAATTTGTCCAAACCTTCTTTGGATTTATTTATTTATTTTCAAGCAAGACCAACTGCTGTTTATTACAAAGCAGGTAGTACAAAGTAATTAATCTTACAGCTAACTTAGGTCCTCACTAATAGAAAAGTTATACAAAAATATTTTTGCGGGAATCAACAATAGTAAAACGGAAAAATGACACAGAACAAAAAACAAGGTTTTTGCATTTTTAAATGGATGTAATTTATTAGATCCACGAATAAAATAATTTAAGACTTTGCTCTTGTATCCTTTATGTCGACATCGGTAACCGGATCTACACACTCCCACAGATCCTCGAGCTCGAGATAAGATTTCACTGCGTGTTGGGAACAGCCATTGTTCTCGGCATTGGCGTCGGTGCGTGAAGTACGAAGTATCCAAACATGATGCTGCTCTTCTCTTTTCAACATAATGAAAATACTTTTATGAGTCGTCACATTTTTATTTAGGTACTAGCTGTTCCCGTGCTGCTTCATCCACATAGAGTTTTAAAAATTTCATTTTATTGTTCACATTTGTCAAGTTATCAATTGCAAATGTCAAAATGACATGACATCATGTCAAACCATGGCAACCTTCCTTGATGTTGGCAACAACTTATGGTCTCTTCCCACATTAGGGTTTTTAGTCAAAATATTTTTTAAATTCACCCCTAAGTTTAACGACGGCGCGAAGTTGCTAGGTTGATTAAAAAAGGGCGCCGCAGAAGAGAATGTAGGCGGCGAGGGTTCTAGAGCTGTATGAGCTAAATAGTCTTCCGAATCAGGGAAACCCTCACACCAGTTGCCGACAGTTGAGAGGATGAACTGGCTGCTATGGCCGAAACCGCGACTGTACCTTGCCTCGACTGCCGCTAACTCCGCCTGCATCATTTCCTCGGACGCAGATTTCTTCGCGGCTATTTTTTTACTTGCTTCGTGCTCAATGTCGGCGAGCCGCCTTTGGTACTCAGCCATAATGGCCAGCTTTTTAGCCGCTCTCTCAGATGAGGAACGAGAGGCGGTAGATGAAGCCGCTGCACAAGAATTAGTAAACGTTTTCAAAAACAAAAGAAAGATAGCAAGGAAAAAGTAATACGAGGACTTAACATAATTTTAAAAAATACGCCCCTAGTCTTCACCTCGACGTTCCTGACCACCGTGTCAGGCCCCGGGAACGTCCTCGTAATGATTCCCCGTGGCCATATATTCACGGGAGGTGGCCGTCGTCGATGACCGCCAGGTCGTCCGGTCTCGGGCTATTGTCTTCGCTCTTCCTCGATTCCCCTCTGGTTCTTAAGGTAGGCAAGTATTCGCGGATCCACCTTCGCCAGTATTCGTCCGCAAGTCCCTACGCCGCTCTCCAGGCCCGGCGGTCGGCTGGGCAGCACGGTGCTGTGTTTGGAAGCTGTTTGGAAGCATGCTCTGCCTTCGCCAACAGGGTAATCAGCGTGTCTTCTTTAGGATGTTTCTCTTTAAGCGTAGCCTGCAGCGATGACTTGACTGAGCGCACAAGGCGCTCCCAGGCTCCTCCTTGGTTCGGCGCCCCTGGAGCGATGAACTTCCACTCGAAGCGACGGCTGAGCGTATAGTCCTGGAGTGCTGGATCCCACACCGCCATCGCACGGTGAATTTCAGTGCTCGCTCCTCGGAAATTTATTCCGTTGTCGGAGTAGACAACGTTCGGCCATCCGCGCCGCGCCGCCATTCGTCTTAACGCCATAATCGCGGAGTCTGTCGTAAGACTATTAACTAATTCTAAATGTATTGCGCGAGTCGTTAAATATGTAAACAACGCGACCCATCTTTTTTCACGCCGTCGGCCGATGGTGACCGTTAATGGCCCGAAATAATCAGTAGGGCGGCCTTGCCTCGTAAACGTTCGATGTACTACAAAACTCTAGCCGTTGCGCGAATTAATCTTTCGTGTGAAGAAAATCGTACTATATTCGGTAGATAAGCCGCATCGGACGTCTTCGTGACATGGTGTACGAGCACCTCGGCGTCACTTTCGACATGGTCGTCCGGTTGTTGAGGCCATTCACTCTCTTCCCTATATAAGAACTCGGGTCCCGTAAACCACGCGTCCGTCGCTAAGTCACACTAAGATTGGCGCGCGTGCCTTGGTCGGCTATGTTGTGGGCGGTCGGCACCCACCGCCATTGCTCCGGCGTAGTCCGTTCTGCGATCTCCCCTAACCGATGCGCAACGTACGGACTGTATCGCGATGTATCGTTCCTAATCCAGTATAGCACGGTCTGCGAATCTGTCCATAGCCGTACTTTATCCGCTTTAACTTGATGTTCGGTCTGAATCGCGTCGGCTAAACGAGCCCCTATCAAACCGGCCTGTAACTCTAAACGCGGTATGCTTTGCGTCTTAATCGGAGCTACTTTTGAGTTGTGCTCACTATTGCCAGTTTCGTTCCTCTCTATCCCGATCCGTGGCGTCTCTACCTAATAGTGCAGGTATTAAATCTAGCCCTATTCGTGAGCCCGTGCTATATCAACGCGGTTCGCGGGTTGCGGAAGTGGTTAGGTCGGGGCCTCCCCCCGTATGGTGTTAACATTCTCTACCCATAACGAAACGCGGCTATCTCCTAAATCGTTTGCGGAAACTACACTATTCGCTTCAATCTCCGCGACGTCCCTAGTGAGCTTTTTCTTAATTAACTCTTCTTCAAGGTCAAAACGTTTTTTTCTTATCTCAGCTAGTTCCTTAGCGGCCCTATATTCCATGTCTGGTAACGCGGCATTCGAACTTGCGGTATGTAATGTCCACACTCAAATTTTTCAAACCATTAAGAGTTTCATTTAAAATATCCAACATTTCTTTAATAGATAACCATGATTCATTTGCAATACTTGGTTGGTTCATAAAACGCTTAAGCAAACTGTTTGCAAGATATTTTTTATTATTGTATCTGCTGTTTAATAAAGACCATGACTCGGTGTAATTGTCAGCGGTAATAGAAACATGTCTTAAAAGTTGCTCGGCTTCACCCAACAAGTGGCCTTTAAGATAGTGCATTTTTTGAACATTGTCAAGTGAAGTGTTTTTATGAACCAAACTAATGAATAAGTCCCTAAATGTAGTCCATTCACTATCATTTCCTGAGAATGTGGGAATTGTTATCTTGGGCAATTTAACATTATTTTCATGGTTTGTTTTATTGTCCCTAATTTCACCCATAGTGATGTTTCCAATGATTTCCATTAGCTTAGATTTATAATACATAAATGACCCAACTTAGGTGAGGCGCATTTATGTATGGCGAGTTAATGCCTTTCCGAGGACCCTTGAGTGTTCAAGCAATGGTTGAAGCACCAAGAGTGCCTAGCGTAACCACACCACGAATAACCAAGCACCTCAAGCTCGTCATGAGCTCCCTTCAAGCTCACTCAAAGTTGGTCACGGCGGCCGAGGTCACGAAACCATCTATGTACATTGATAGTGGCATGTAAGTGAACTATGGCGCCATCTAGTGACAAGCGGCGTAATTGTTCAGTTGCATCAATGCATTAAGGCGCCGCATGCACGATTTTACTACTCGGCATACGATGGCTCGAGTAGTCTTAATTTATCTTGTTACAAACTTCATTTTTGAAATAATCATCATCATCATCTGAAAATTCTTGGGCTATTTTAGAATGATTGTCAAGAAAACAATTCCACCGCTCTTCTAATGTTTCTAATCGTGTGTTGACATAAGCTAATTTTGACAAACGCTCCCTTGGTGATTTTTTGAAATTTTTTATACATTTCATCTATGTTTAATTGAGTGACATATTGTATTTTAATTAACTGTGCCATTATGAATGACAAAAACTATTCTAAACATATAAATTTCAAGTTAAAGTCTATAAAATTTTCTATGTCCACAACTTGCTGTTTCAAAAAGTCGGTGTAATTCTTCTGTCACCAAAGGAAATCTTTGAGATTATAAAGTACTCACGGTTTTTTAACTTTGTGTTGTTATAAACCACAAACTCACTCACACCTTGATCTTGATTGTAACCTTGTTCTATGTTGTAGTGCGTGCTCCTAGACACGTCCGGTTGGCGACACCGTGACGTTCGCACTTTTTCTCCTTCCTTCTTGCTTCTGCCGCTTGAGTACTACAGGTACCCCAAGCAGACTGTCGATCCACCGACGGTGACACTCTATTGACGATGATCCATCGCCCAGTCAGAGTGTGTAGGAACACGTGGTTGGAGAGCGTAAGATACACAGAACGGCTTGATCAGACTTGCATTATATCATATCCGGCTCGAAGGACCATGAAGAAGTTTCAAGCCAAAGATTGTTTGTGTTTTCAAATAATTCGTTTATTTTACCAAAATATTACAACAGCGGTACAACCAATTCCTTCTGACGTGCGTAATGTCATCATGACAGTTAGTTTTTTTTTAATACCATAGACACCAACAAAGCCATTTATCATTAAGATCAAACTTAATATTTCTGAGCTTATGGGCGGTCGACATCATTTTGTTTACATAGTCTTCTACGCTTCGAGAAGATTCCAATGTTATGGTGATGAGATCCCTTAACAAGGCTACTCTGTATAACGAGCTTATAATAATAATGATAACCCTATACCCCTGTGGGTAGTAAAAGCTGATATTCTGCAAATGCCTTTGCGTCTTTCGCACGTCAGTAACAGCAGTTGATAATTGAGAAGAAATTATAAGCTTCAGGGAGTCCAACATCAATGTTCCAAGCCATTATTATTAATATGAATCTTAATATTTCTGAGCTGGTGGGCGGTCGACATCATTTTGTTTACATAGTCCTCTAGGCTCCAATGTTTGATTCCGAAGATCCCAATGTTGTGATGAGATCCCTTAACAAGGCTACTTTGTACAACGCGTGATCAAAAGCCTGTTCTAAATTTTCCCAAACTTCTTTACATGTAGTTGAATTCTGGACATGCACATAAATGATAGGGTCCAGTAATAAAATTAATTTATATTTTGCATTTGTTTTTTACTTCTGTCTGTATTGGTACCGGTGACAACGCCATCAATCGTCGAGTTCGAACTTGGACTGCGAATTTCCAACTGGCATGGTTATCTCTTCTAACTAATATGTCGAAATGAAATGGATTGTAGTCAGAAATCGACATCTTTGAGCGTATTTTATTTTTCAAAACTTTCTGAGTACTACGCTCCGGTTAACCTCAAAATGTATGCCGGATAAAGCACGTTGTTAGGTTTTCTTACTTTCAACTGCGTTTTATTTTCTGTTTTCACAAGTAGCAATTAAATTTCAATCAAGTTCTATTACAATGTTGATATTTGATGTAACAATGGTGAAATTGATTAAACGATTTCTTGTGAAAATGCACCACGTGTTGTAAAGTTTGAGTTTTTTTTTCTTTAAATGCCCCTGAGGGGGCCTTAGTAGCACTTGCTGCCATTGCTGAAGCAGCAACCTTGGTACCTAGGGTATTATGTTACTAAAAATATTAATATTAACAACTATCTTTTTCTTATTAAAATAACT